TCTCAGGAGGGGGTCAGGAGGGGCTCAGGTGGGCTCAGGTGGGTGTCAGGTGGGGCTCAGGAGGGTCTCAGGTGGGCTCAGGTGGGGCTCAGGTGGGGCTCAGGTGGGCTCAGGAGGGGATCAGTGGGGCTCAGTGGGGCTCAGGAGGGGCTCAGGTGGGCTCAGGTGGGTTCAGGAGGGGGTCAATGGGGCTCAGGTGGGCTCAGGTGGGTGTCAGGTGGACTCAGGTGGGCTCAGGAGGGGCTCAGGAAGCGCTCAGGAGGGGCTCAGGTGGACTCAGGTGGGTGTCAGGTGGACTCAGGTGGGATCAGTGGGGCTCAGGGGGGCTCAGGTGGGCTCAGGAGGGGATCAGTGGGGCTCAGGTGGGCTCAGTGGGGCTCAGGTGCTGCTGGGCTCAAGCGGCTCCCAGGCCTTTACGCGAGTTCTTGGCAGTAAAAGGAAGACTTGGTTAAAACTGCTGAGACGCACCCACGCATGCTAAACGGGAAAAGACTCATCTGAAATGATGAGAACTCTGATTTCAAGAGATGAAAGATGATCTCTGCCTCTTTCAGACACTGTGAGAACGGCCACCTGCCCAAGGAGGGTAAATCGCGGAGACGGGCGGCCGGAAAGGCCCTGTGTTTCCAGGAGTGGTGTCTTCCGCAGAATCAACACCCCTTCCACAGCCTGATTTGTTGCTTTGTTTTCTTTCAAGAAGGCTTTCTTTTTTCTTTTAAAATTTTGACTCAGCTCAGCCTAACTTTCCAGTAACTGAACCAGGGCCTTCGTGGTCAACGGGGATCAAAGAGAGGCCCCTGATGTCCATCGAGCCACCGGGGGTTTCAGGGTCCTGCATCCGGCTGGGGTCTGAGAGCATTTGCTAGGAACAGTCAGGGGCAAGCGGACGTCCAGGTTCCTCACTCCATTCGTCCTGAGGTCCTTTTCATCCGGTGACAGGTGAGCAGGGGGTGGCAGCTTCTAGCTCGAGAGGCTCCCCCGCGGGCTGCTGAGATCCCCGCTGCCCCACGCCCAGGGACGGCGCACGGTCCTTGACCCTCTAACGGACGTAAATGTCCAGGTCGCCCCCCTCAGGACAGGACGATGATTACACATGAAGGTCCTCCTACCTGAGTCGGGCGCCCAGCTCCGAGCTCCGGCAGATCGAGGCACCAGGGCCCAGGCTCTCCTGGCGGAGGATGGGAATGCCCTGCGGGGGGGGGGGGGTTGCGTTCCGTGAAGGCGTCTTCACGACACATGTGAGCGGCAGGCTCGCACTTTTTCCGGGTGAGCTGTGCGTGCCAAGTCCGTGTTGCAGGCCTTGGACCAGCACCAGGGTTTCCGTCGATGGGACTGCGCCCTCACCTGGAGGGGCACGCCTCTCCTCCTCTGTCCCTTCGCTTTCCGACGGAGAAACTGCACGCTCAAGGTCAAGCAGAAGGTCGTTGTGAGCGTGCGGGAGGTCAGGCGGCAGATGCTGAGCCGGCTGTGTGGCTTGGCCGGCTCCTGCTCCCGCCTGCTCCCGGAGGTCAGGGTGGCTGGGGCAGCACCCACCGCTCGCTTCGGGTGGACCCGCATTACATTACCTCAGGGAGGAGTGCAGGTACGGCTTCAGGGGCGACGTCCACCCCCTTTACAGACGAGGAAACCGAGGCCAGAAAGGCCGGCCTGGGCTGTGCTCCAGCTTCCGGGGGCTGCCACCTCCGATCGGATCTGGATCTAAAATTCTGGGAGCGCCACCGTGAGCGTTCATGTTTCGGCGATCCCGTCTTTTACCAAACGTACGACATGCTCCAGTCTTCGCTTTTCGCTCTCAGGGTGACCCATGGACATGTTTACTGTTCAAACGCCCTTCCATTCGGTTTGGTTCGGTTCCCGGGGTGCGGTTTACTTTTTACTTGGAGGTTCCCCTGCTCGGGAAGCCGCTGCACAGACAGAATCTTTGGGGGACAGGCGCCGGCAGTGAGGAGCCGTGGGGGGGCTTAGGGGGAGGTTGGGGCGGCAGGCTGACAGTCGGGGTGCCCCTTGCCACGGCGACGAGGGGGTGGGTTCCACAGTCACCTCGATCGTGCTGAGTGGCCTTATTTATTTTCAGGGACATCTCCTGTGGGACACAGGACACGAGCTCTCACTTTGCAGAGAGGCTCCGGGCATAGCTCGAACCCTGGCCGGGTGGCGGGGAGGACGTGAATGAGAACGTGACGACGCAGTTTCTTTCCCGCGGGGCACGTCTGTGTGGCTGTCACCGAGGGGCACTCGGGCGCCTGCGGGGGGCTTGCAGGAGGTCTGGCTGCACTGACTGGAGCTCAGCATCTTCCCAAATGTTTGTGTCATTACAGGGACGCAGCCTGGCCCGGGGGCCCTCCCTTGTCCTCGGGACCCGCAGCCTCACAGGAAACAGGTGGGCTAAATACTGTTTTCCAAGGCCCTGGCCGGTTTGGCTCAGCGGTTAGAGCGTCCGCCTGCGGTCTGGAGAGGCCCGGGTTCGGTTCCCGCTAAGGGCATGTACCTCGGTTGCAGTTTGTCCCCGGCCCTGGTTGGTCGTGCGGGTGGCAGCCACTCGATGTGTCCCTTTCACATTGATGTTTCCCTCTCTCTCTCTCTTCCTCTCTCTCCCTCCCACTCTGTCTGTACAAAAAATGGAAAAATGTCCTCGGATGAGGATTAAATAAAATAAATAAATAAATAAATACTGTTTTCCAAGAACACACCGGGGATCCCCAAGGGGCCTCCTAACGGTTCCCGACACTCAGTCGGACGAAGTGGCACTGCCGGGTGAGCACCCCGGACACTCGGTAGGACAGACGCCCAGAGGATTCACGGCTGGTACAGCCTCCTCGGATCGTGTTTCTGGGCACTGCCTCCCCCCGTCGGGAGCTGAGGGTACAGTTTCTGCGCTGAGGGTGCAGTGTGTTCGTGATTTCCCCACTCTAGGGTGGCTCATCGCGCCAGTGACGTGCGGGGTATTTGAAAGAACTTCAGGGGAAGCAGGACACGTATACCCACACGGGGCCAGGATGGACCAGGGCTCCCCTGCCTAGCTGTGCCCCCACAGTGGGAGCCAGGACCACGCTGGGCACTCGGTCGGCATCAGGACCTCTCTCCTCCCCCACCAGGTAGGCGGCAGACGGAGCCGCCCTCCAACAGAAACCTGGGCAACAGCCGTCCCCTGGGTGAGGTTCCGCATCAGAAACCATTTCCACCCCTTCCAGCACAGTGTCCGGTGGCCCCTGTTCTCTGTCTGACATTCTGTCACCGCTTCTCAGCTGATCAGTGTCCTAGGGGTCGAGCCCCCTTTTCAAAAAAATCTGCTTTATTCGTCCTGCAGGACGAGGCGAAGTTGGAATGGCCCTCAAACCCCCCAATACAGTCCACCTCAGGCAACACAGAGTCTGAAATGTCCTGGCGTTTGTGTCTTTATTTTGTATCACTACTGAGAGGCTGGGGGGAGCCCCCCAAGTCACAATCTATGCCTGAAAAGGGGTCTAGACCCAGCGTGGCTGCGGGGTCGCCTCATCCGTTTCGTTGTCTTTGTAAAGTTATGTCTTTTTTATTTTTTATTTTTAACTCCTCACTCAAGGAGTGAGAAACACTGATGGGTGGCCCCCTATCTACACCCTGACTGGGGACTGAACCCGCAACCCAGCTATGTGCCCTGACCGGGGATCGAACCCACAACCTTTGGTTCATGGGATGATGCTTCAACCAACCGAGTCACCTGGCTAGGGCATACATTTATGTCTTGTAAATTTTACTTATTTATCGATTTTGAGAGAGGAAAGAAACATCAATCTGTTGTTCCAAGCTTGGCGTATCGGGATGATGCTCTAACCAGCTGAGCTCCCCGGCCAGGGCCACGTGTACGTCTTTTTAGAAAATCCCTTTTCTTTCTGAAGTGTGGGGTAAACTACCCATGAACTGGGTCGCAGGACAAGGTGCTTCTCCCTGCCAGAGACCTTCCTTCACAGAACCTCGTTCCTTGAAGTGGTTTTGCTGCCTTTAGAGACGGTGTAGGCCCGCCAGTGCGTGAGACCCCCCGCCCGAGCTCACGGGGCATTGATCTCTCATGGAAAATGTAGACAAACTGTGGGATTCACCGACAGCCCTGACGTGGTCACCTGTAACCACGGGGAATATAAAATACAGCATGTGTCAGACTGAGGGGTGACCCAGTGACCCCGCTCCCGGTGGCCGGCACCATGGGCTGGGCGAGGTCCGGAGCTGTTGTGGAATGAGCTCCCCGGCCGCCGGCCCCCCTTCTGCGGGCGTGCCTGCCCTCGGAGCCCAGCGGGGACCCGGACGCGGCCTGTCCTCAGAGCCCAGCACGGACCCGGACGCGGCCCGCCCTCGGAGCCCAGTATGGACCTGGACGCGGCCCGCCCTCGGAGCCCAGTATGGACCTGGACGCGGCCCGCCCTCGGAGCCCAGCGGGGACCCGGACACGGCCTGTCCTCAGAGCCCAGCACGGACCCGGACGCGGCCCGCCCTCGGAGCCCAGTATGGACCTGGACGCGGCCCGCCCTCGGAGCCCAGTATGGACCTGGACGCGGCCCGCCCTCGGAGCCCAGCGGGGACCCGGACGCGGCCTGTCCTCAGAGCCCAGCACGGACCCGGACGCGGCCCGCCCTCGGAGCCCAGTATGGACCTGGACGCGGCCCGCCCTCGGAGCCCAGTATGGACCTGGACGCGGCCCGCCCTCGGAGCCCAGCGGGGACCCGGACGCGGCCCGCCCTCGGAGCCCAGCGGGGACCCGGACGCGGCCTGTCCTCAGAGCCCAGCACGGACCCGGACGCGGCCCGCCCTCGGAGCCCAGTATGGACCTGGACGCGGCCCGCCCTCGGAGCCCAGTATGGACCTGGACGCTGCCCGCCCTCGGAGCCCAGCGGGGACCCGGACGCGGCCTGTCCTCAGAGCCCAGCACGGACCCGGACTCGGCCCGCCCTCGGAGCCCAGTGGGGATCTGGACGCGGCCAGCCCTCGGAGCCCAGCGGGGACCCGGACGTGGCCTGCAGGGGACCTACCTTGGCACTCCAGCAGGAAGAAGTCCGAGCTGTGGCTGAAGGAGGCGCTGAAGTAGGTGCAGTTGCCCACCAGGTCACAGGACAGGCACTGTCTGTTGAAATTGCCCACGGTGTTGGCGCTGGAGGGGCACACGGAGGGGGCGTGAGCGGGGGAGGAGGAAGCCGGCAGAGGTCAAGATCCAGGCCCCCTGCTGGCCGAGCTCTGTCTTGCAAAGGTGTCCGGTGTCTCTGCCCCCCTCACCCTCCTTCCTGTTGAACCCCGCCCGGCAGGGCTGTTTCCCCGTCCCTGGACAGATCTCAGCACAGACCCCCTTCAGCGGCGATTTTCCACCGCGCGCTGCACGATTTCTTTAAAACCTGCACATCTGACTGTGTAGTCGGGGGCTCTGACCTCTTTCCCCTTAGACGGTCAAGTAAGAAAAATGACAACAGCCAACACGATACGAGCCGTCAGGTGGGAGTGAATCAAAATGAGACCTGTTTTTTGGGTCAGATTGGCAAGACGTGTATTTTTTTGGTGTGCGGGAGAATTTGGGAAATCGCTGTATGTGCCATGAGATGACAGGTTGGACATCGCCGCTCTGTGGTGGGCTGGGTCAGCGTGGTCAGGCAGGCCCCGGGCACACCCTGAAGTGAGGACAGGGAGTACTCTGTGTTCACGTCTGTCTCCCCAGCACAGATCGGCTCTTGTTTTGTTAATCCTCACCTGAGGACATTTTCCCATTGATTTTTAGATAGAGAGGGAGGGAGAGAGAAACATCAATGTGAGAGAGAGACAGCCATTGGTTGCCTCCTGCGTGACCCCACTGGGGCCAGGGATCGAACCTGCAACCCAGGTACGTGCCCTTGCCTGAGAATTGAACCTGGGACCCGAGGGCCAATGCTCTAGCCACTGAGCCACACCAGAGCAGCTCTCTGAGGATGGGTGCTTCCGTGTCCCGGAACCCCTCGCGGGGACTAAGGCCGGCAGTGACCAGCAGGATGTCCGGAAACACCGCCGGGCTGAGCTCCGGCTGTTCGCAAAGCGGACTCCCCAGACGGCGAAACAGTGAGACCTCGCCTCACGCTCAGGGGCCCTCACGGAGCGGGGACCTCGGGGCCACTCTGATCAATGATGTCCCCTCAAAAGGGCCTCAAAGGTGTTTCCAAAATTTAAAAGATGCGGCGTGTCTGTTAAAATGCCCGGAGGGAGTTGCCGTCTGAGCGCTTGGTGCGGGGAGGGCCCACTCGGAACCCGTCTACGTCTACGAGAGCGAAGCCATTTCCCGGTGGGGGGAGAAGACGCCCTTCTAACATGAAGCCAAAGAAAGAGCTAGGCATCCGCCCTGGTCGCCTTGGGGGGACTTGGGGACGGACTGAGCTGAGCTGCCCTGACCCGCGGGCAGTGACGAGGAGTCTGTGGAGGGAAGACAGTGACCCTGTGGATTTGCCAGCTTGCTCCCCTCCACAGGCACCCCTCATGCTGGCCCTGACTCTCGTGCACGGACCAGCGGATGCAGGGGGACACAGCCGCCACCTGGGGGAGGGGGAGACCAAGCCTCAGCTCCCTTGGGCTGGGAGTCGCCCGCCCAAGCCCTTAGGTCTACACGGAAGGATGTCCTCTAGGTGGCTATGTGCACGCAGGCGGTGACCAGCTGCCACCCTCCTAGTCTGGAAGGCACCCAGGAGGTGACAGGTGGCCCCATTTCCACCCCACCCACTTCAGAACCAACAACTCGAACTGGCACAGTGACTGGAGCATGTCCCCAGAGCAGGCTGTGCCTCCGAGGACACCGGCTGAGAGCGCCCCCTCCCAGTCAGTATCTGCCTGGCCACAGAAGCCCTCCAGCCTCCACCGGGAGAAAACAGGGGCAAATCCATGTGACAGGAGCAGCGCAGCCTGAGCAGTTTTGGTTATTTCCCTCCAGACTTTAGAGCAACTCATCTCTGCCACCTCCCCGGAGCTGCTCCTGGAAGGTGCACCCCAACAGCCTGCCGCCCACCCAGGCAGGGAGCCCCCAGCGCGCGGGAGGGTCCCCGGTACCTGTAGAGGTGGCGTCTGGTGGGCAGGTCCTCGGTGCTGAGGAAGTAGCTGTGAAGACCGGCAGGTGCACGGGAGTTAGTGGGCTCCGGGCAGGTGTGCGCCTCAGCCCAGGTCCCGCCGCAGACCCTTCTCGGCCCGGCCCCCGCTCCCCGCTCCCCGCTCGGGTGCAGCTGCATTTGGGCGGCTGAGCCTCAGCTGGCTGGGTACCCCGCACCTGCCCACAGGGCTCTGCAGTAGGGGGAGGATGGTGGTCGTGGGCCCCTGGATTCAGATGCGGGGGTTGCTTTGCAGGATGTTAACCTGGAGAGTAAGGACCCCGGACAGAAAGCCTGGGCGGTCACCCTCATGGATGGATGTCACACCTGGGCTCTCCCAGGTGAGCAGGGAGCAGAGTGGCACGTGGGCCTGGCTCCCGGGGCCTGAGAGGACCCAGCCCACCTGGACTGACTGCTCACCTGGGGTGGCTCACGGAGCTCCTTTCCGTCTCAGCTCCTTTATGTCCCAGATGGGGCGGGACCCTCCCTGGGGCAAGAGCCTCCCTCACCCGAATAAGAGGCTGCCCCCAAGGACTTGGCCTAATGCCTGGTCTTGCAAAGACTCAACACACCAGTACTGCCCCTGCGCCCCTGTCCCCGCGGGCTCACCCCAGGCCTGTGCCCCTGTCCCCCGTGGGCTCACCCCAGGCATCGCTCCTGCCCCCCGCGGGCTCACCCCAGGCCTGTGCTCCTGTCCCCCCGTGGGCTCACCCCAGGCCTGTGCTCCTGTCCCCGCGGGCTCACCCCAGGCCTGCGCCCCTGTCCCCCGCGGGCTCACCCAGGCCTGCGCCCCTGTCCCCGTGGGCTCACCCCAGGCCTGTGCCCTTGTCCCCGCGGGCTCACCCCAGGCCTGTGCCCCTGTCCCCGCAGGCTCACCCAGGCCTGCGCCCCTGTCCCCCGCGGGCTCACCCAGGCCTGTGCCCCTGTCCCCCGCGGGCTCACCCCAGACCTTGCTCCTGACCCCGCGGGCTCACCCCAGGCCTGCGCCCCTGTCCCCTGTGGGCTCACCCTAGGACTCGCTCCTGTACCCCATGGGCTCACCCCAGGCCTGTGCTCCTGACCCTGCGGGCTCACCCCAGGCCTGGCTGCTAAGTCAGCTTCACCCCTGCTCCCTCCCAGTCCTGGATCTGGGCTGGCAGGTGGGAACCTACGACTATGTCCACAGAGAAACTAGGTCCTCGGGGCGTCTAAGCAGGGAGAAGGGGCTGCTGGGCCGCAGTCTGTGCCCAGCGACCATGACCCCTCTGAAAGGCGGCCACTGGGTTGGCGCCTCAGGGGGAAGGGCCCTGTCCCGGCCGCAGGGTCCCCCCCACACTCACATCTTGTTCCGCTTCTCGTCATAGGACAGGATCTTGGTGACGTCCCAGTCACCAGACGTGATGGACTGGATGTTGTCATTGCTGCTGTTGGGCTGGAACAGACAGGCCGTGAGCAGCGAGCGAGAACGGGGCCCCCGCCGAACTTCGCTCCCTCACCCCCGGCCCCCCGGGCACTGGTGTGTGGATGGTGCCGCCAGCCCGGCCCACCTGGTCTCCGCTCCCAGCCACAGCCTTCTCCCTCTCCGGGTGTCAGCCCGGCTGTGACGCTGAGCATCCAGGACCCCCTGACCCCCACTGAGAGACTCACATCTCAGGAGAAGGGCCTGTACTTCATGTGCTGTGGATGCTGTTTCTCTAAAATGTGTGAACCAATCAGTGGTCGTTTCCATGGGGGACGGGGAGCGAGGGAGGAGAGAGATATGGGCACGTGGGTGGATTAGGGTGAGGAGAGAGAGGGAGGGAGGGGACACCTGTCACAGGCTCACTGTCGCTACGAGCGTCCCGGAGCCAAGCCGTTCCAACAACCCTGACAGGACAGACACGGACTGTGTGGACCGGGCTGTGATCTGCCGCGGGGTGTGCAGGCCTCGGGCTGGCCCAGGTACCGGCCCCGGGCTGGCTGTTCTGGGTGGCGGGAGCCTGGGAGGCAGGGGCCGATCGGATGGCGATGAAATCAGGCCACTGTCCAAGGCAAACACCGCGGGGACGTGGGGACCACAGAAATGAAAGCTGTGGTGCAGGTGGGTGTAGGAGAAGCTGGGCGTGTCTGAGAGGCTCTTGGGCGGGGTGGGGACCTGCTCGCTGCTGGGCTGCGTCACAGGGTCCCACACGTGCTAAGATGTGGATGGGGCAGGGCCTGGGCCGGATGGAGACACGTAAACATGTCTGAATCTCGACGAAGGTGGTGTGCGAGGAAGCCCAGGGACCTGAGCTGTGGGACCAGGACCACGGGGACAGACACACGACGTCCGCCGGGTGCAGACAGGCATGTCATGTCACGATGGGGCTTGAACACGATATCTGCCCCTCGCTCAGCCTCTGAGAAAACTGGTCCCTGTCAGAGTCACAGTCCAGTCCCCTCCTGTCCACCGGGACCCTCTTGGCACTTTGTTTCTGAAACTGCCTTTTGGGCTTCATCGCAAACACGAGCCTTCTACTCTAGATCCACAGACGCTCTCTGATAACCTTATTTTAAATCGTTGTATGCACCTGCCCTGGTCCCACATAATGTTAGACTGTTTCACAAATGGAACACACAAGGGCATGAGGGTCGTGCTCCTGGATGTCACCCTCAACCTCTTCGTAAGGACAGAGTCCCTGAAAGTTCAGCTCCGGGGGGCAGCCCGCGAGGAGGTGGGAGGCTCCCGAGAGTGACCCCTGAGCAGGACACAGTCACCAGGCTGTCGCGTGGCCCTACACCACTGTATTCAGCTCTGACAGGTGTGCTCAGGGCTGCCCTCGGAACCGGACCCCAGAGTCAGGGTCATGACCATCACTAGCGGCAGTGTGACGGAACAAGACTGGCATTTGGTTTAATGTGAGGGTGGGACACCTTGGGAGGCTGGGGTGTAGGACCATCATGCCCTGGGTCCCAGGACAGAGTAGGGGATACTCCGCAGAAGGAGAGGAAAAGCTGAAAGGTGCAGGACCGTCATACCAAGTACAGTCCTCAGGCTCACGTCCAACAATGCACACCAAAGTCCCCTCTGACCTGTCAGAAGTGTCACTTGTACTTGGGGTGACCACAGAAAGGGCACAATGGGACCCACTACCCACCGGAACCTCAGGCCTGTACCGGTGCCCCACTCTGCCCCACCTTCGGAAACGCCCCCCTCCCAGTTTTAGTATCCAGGGACCTGGAAGATGACAAGTGTGCTGAGATGCTCAGCCACTAGAGGGCGTCCCCGACCGGGCACAGCAGTTGAGGGAACTTGGGGATTTACCTGGGAAGATGACACGGTGATGTGGTAGAACTTGCCCTGCCCTCCCTGTGGGATCGCTCGGACAAAGAAGAACTTCCGTCCATCCCTGGAGAACACCGGCTCTTCATTCTGTAGGCGAAGCAACCCTGTGAGTCCTGGCAAACGCATCACTTGTTTTCAAGAGGCTGAGCCGGGATACACGCTCCTGGCGGGGCCTTTGCTATGTAATTTCTAATCAGACAAGCAGCTGAAAGCATAGCGCTGTGTGGGGGCCCGTCCTTGGATCGGGAGTCCAGCCTCCAGTTTTCAAAGGCAAGAGAAAAAATGAGGAATTCACAGGGGACATGCTAAGCATCACTAAAGAGTGGCCCCGCATGTCACCATGCTCTGCAGGCAGGATGGGAGCCCCACGGCTCAGGCAGCCCCGAGCAGCGTGTACCCCTTTAACTGAGGTCTGTTGGAACTGGGGCGTTTTGCAGAATTCCTCCGGGGCCATCAGTGATCTCTACTAAAGAACAGAATTCTGAACCCCATACCTGATTCTGCCTGAAAATAAATTTTATTCTCTCCTTGCTATCTTTGTTTTTTTTATTTTATTTTATTTTATCAAATCCAGCTTACATGGAACAGCCGATCAAGGAGAGGACAGGAACTGCACACAGAGACACATTGTATCCATCCTAGAACAATGTGTCCATCCTAGAACAATGTATCCATCCTGGGAACATTGTATCCATCCTAGAACAATGTGCCCATCCTGGGAACATTGTATCCATCCTGGGAACAATGTGTCCATCCTGGGAACATTGTATCCATCCTGGGAACAATGTGTCCATCCTGGGAACATTGTATCCATCCTAGAACAATGTGTCCATCCTGGGAACATTGTATCCATCCTGGGAACAATGTGTCCATCCTGGGAACATTGTATCCATCCTAGAACAATGTATCCATCCTGGGAACATTGTATCCATCCTAGAACAATGTATCCATCCTGGGAACAGCTTATCCATTTTAGAAACACTGTATCCATCCTAGGAACATTGTATCCATTCTAGGAAATCGTGGGAGGAAACCTCCTCCCAGGTGCTCACTGTGCTACAGCATCGCTTTTTACTAGAGGAAAGTTGATGAGAAACAAAAGCAACATCCCCAGTTGTCCCTGGGAGAGGGAATTCCAGGCTGGATTCAAAGCCAGTTGCCACTGTCTCCGCTCAGTCCCCTAAAAGCTGAGCAGTCACTGCTCAGCCCACTGACAGCTGTCACTTTGATGGGCAAAACGGGATTTTGGTGCAGCATCACCTCAGCCTCTCGGAAGCCCGGTTTTGAAAGTTTCCACTGGTGAGCACCAATTAGTTGGGTACGATACACATTTTCTGATTCAAGGAGCGCCCCCCTCGCAGAGATGAGCGCGAATAGTAAATGAGCCCCAGCTGGCATGCGGAACCTCATCTCCCCGCGGCGAGCGAACGCATGCAAATACAATGTGCCCAGAGAAATAAACTAACATGTGATTAAAATGACATTTAATCTCCAGGAACATTTGCAATGAAATGAAACCTTTAATCTGCAAATATTTATTTTTCCATTTAGAGTTGGAGGCACGGCATTTAGAAGTGGAGGAAATGAGAAAACAGGCAGGTCATCGGGCTTTTTACACGCACTTCTGTTTGCCAAATGCGGGGCAGATACCGCAGCGGTGCCTCCGTTTTCCTGGGGAAGGATTGGTACTTTTGGCAGAGAAAAATATTCTGGATACAGAGTAAAGAATTAATTCTGGTTAGAAGCATTGTTTTTATCCTAACAAGGCACTGGTTCCAGGAATGTCATCTTTACATGAATCCATGGGACAGTCTGTGCTGGAGTCTCTCTGAGACCCAGTGTCTCCAGCAGCAAATGGATTTTTACTGAGAAAGCGCAAGGGTTAGGAGAGCTGGATATTAATTCTGATTCTGACTCATGGATTTGGGGGAACGCAGTTCTAGTTTCTCTGGGGCTCAGGGAGTTCATCACACACGATGTCTGGTCTCTCCATAGCAGATCTGTGCAAAATGAGTCCTTTCCCTTGGTGAGATTCTTCGTGAACTCTTGTTAGCCTTTCTGCCAAGTCTCTCCATGGTTCAGATCATTCATCTTGGCCAAATTTTGAAACCACAAAACTGAAATTTTGGTTAAAGCAAGACGGTCAGAAATTGACCTAGAGGACCGACTCTTAATCAAAGGGCGATGGGTCTGGCGCAGGGCTGCTAGTGAACTTGCATCAGGACCGACTTTGAAGGTCCCAGGCTGTGGTGATGGGGTGCGTGTGTGTCGGGGTGGGAGGCTGCTTCTTTCTCTGGAATATTCCCCGAGGAGAGGAAAGTTGGTGGGTCTCCACCACGGGGCACATGCACACATTTGCTCTTCTCGTTGGCTCATTGGAGTCTCTGTGGGGGATCCTACTGCCTCAGGATGGACATGGGAGGAAAAGAGAGGGAGACAGAGGTTGAGATGGATGCCCGGGTTTGTTCTAGCTCACCCCACTACCCTGGCAATGAGTAACTAGCAGACAGATGATCTGAGCAGACGGCGTCTCCGGGAGGTTGGTACAAATTCCCAGACTCCAGTCTTCTCCTCAAACGACACTTTGCCTGGGCCAGCAGGGGTGAGCATCTGGGATTCCTTTGTAATGGCTGGTGCTCAGCAGCCTCACTGGCAGCAGATGGCAGGTCCAGCTGCAAATAAGTTCCTAAATCACCTTGTAAGACTTCCCGGTATCTTGAAGGGCGCAGAAAACGACAGATTGTTTTTGAAAAAGAGCACCTGTGGATTCATTTATAAAAGTTGTCTTCGGAAGGGACGTCATGACAAATGGTTGAAAGTGGATTTTCTCTGTGACCCCGGCGCTCCTGTGAAAGCACCATCTCGCTCAGAGGAAAGGACCCCTTTTTCCTTTGGGAGGACTGAGCCTCTGAAACCCGAGACGGCACCACTCGGTTCCCACAGCCGTTTAAAAGTGTTCACTGTTTGCTTGGTGCGTGCTTTCAAGTTTACATTGTAAACGTGTAAACATTATACCTCGTGCTGCTTTTCAAGTGCTGGCTTGATTTTGTGCGGAAAGATTCAGCTTCTCAAATCACACCGAGGCTGCCTGTTGGGTGCTCGCCTGGTGTTCCCACGGGGGCGATAATACAGGCTGGGAAATACAGAAAAGTCTCACCGATGGCTCAGCCTCTGGGGCCACTCTGCAGAGCTGAAGGGGTGAGTGAAGGGACAGCCCCATGGCCTCCACACTGCAGATGACCTGCCGGACGCAGGCCAGGCGTGAGAGCCGCTGACAGGGAAGGGGGCAGACCCTCCGACCCGCCCTTCCGACAGCCCCGCCTCGCAGAAAGATCACTGTGGCAGGTGCTTGGTAAGATTGCCCTCACCTCCTCCTCCTTAGACACTCATCTGCGTGCCATGGAGAGCCGGGTCCCAGTGCGCCACCTCCCTGTCTCTCCATTTTCCCCGCTCCCGCTGCCGACCGCTAAGCACTTGCGTTTTCGGGACTTATTTTAAGGTGATTCCCATCTGCCGAACCCTGACATTCACGTGTACCCCCGACGCCCCTTCTTCACTATGCCGTCCAGGAGACTCCAGGCTCTAGCTGGTTCATCATTAACAAAAGTTGAGATGAAATTCATATAACACAAAATAAAACATTTGCATAACCGTGAGCCGAACAGGGGCACCTCCGTGCATCCGCGAGGTCGTACGAGCACCGCGGGTATCCCGTTGCGAAGTAACCCCACCGGCCGGATACGGCGTCTGCCCAGCTGGCCGGCGCTCCCGCTCCCTGCTTTGCGGGCATCGTGAAACCGCCTCCTGCTTTGCAAGTTCGTGTACCGCGGACGTTCCACGGGAACACGCCATGGCGGCCTTGTCTGCTGCCTTCACTGAGCGTCTCGTTCACGGTGGAAACAACCCCGAGTCCATCCACAGGCCGAAGGTTCTCGCCACGGCTCAGCCTTCACGCTCTCAGGGGGAGCAGCTGACTCGTTTCTAAAGTCCACGAAGCGCGGCACAGGCCTGGTACAATCCGTCAGTGGCGGGCACGTAACTACACAGACAGGGCTTCTCCTGGTCCTCCGCCTCTCTGGCGTTCTGTCCGATGTAAGGGGAACGCCGTGGCATCGCTGCGGGTACCTACGCTTAGACACCGTCGGTCCAGGGGGCAGTCGGGGACTCCCAGCCCAACCCCGGCCCAGTCCCCGCAAAACGCCCCAGCTAGTGTCTCGGGTCCCCAAGCTCTTGTTCTTCATTTTTTCTTAGGTTGGACTTGGCACCGGAACGTGGGCACAGGGAAACAGGAGTGGCCGGAAGTGGGCATCCTGCTTTGGGATCAGATGGGCAGGGATTAGAAGTAGATATGCTTAAATGGATACATTTAAAAGCAACAGTGTCCAATCCTGAGGCCAGCACCTCTGAGGTAAGGGCCTGGAAAGCTGGGAGAGACCGCTCACCCACGGACAGGAGGGGCACGCCACCCAGAGCTGCCAGAATGTTCTCGGAGAGCCACGGGGGACAGGGGCACTGTCCGGCCCACCGATTTCCCGTGAACAGGGCTCAGCACACCTGTGTTCTCTCCACTGCCACGTTCAGACTCAGATCTGGAGGGACTTCCCCACAGAATTCCCACCCCATGGGGTAGGCTGAGAAGGAAGCGAGCTTCCTAAACGCCCCACCTGTTCTTTGTTTTGTTTTTTCGTTTTTTGTTTTTGGTACGTGCCCCTTGCAGGAACCGAACCCGGGACCCCCTGGTCCACAGGCCGATGCTCCAATCGCTGAGCCAAACCGGCCAGGGTGCCACCTGTTCTTTCTAATGTCAGGTATGGAAAGAGAAAAAAAAAAAAAACAGAATATACCACCCTGGCTGGTTTGCCTCAGCAGTTAGAGAGTTGGCCCGGTCCAGAGAGACCCGGGTTCGGTTCCCACTAAGGCACGTACCTCGGTTGCAGTTTGTCCCCGGCCCTGGTTGGGGTTGTGTGGGTGGCAACCCATCAATGTGTCTCTCTCACATCGATGTTTCTCTCTGTCTCTCTCTCCCTCCCTCTCTACCTCCTGCTCTGTCTGAAGATAAATGCAAACATGTCCTTGGGTGAGGATAAAAAAATATATACCAATGTTTAGGGTTTTATTTTTTGTGGAAGTTTAATGCTTAGTTTTTTGGTCATGGAGTGAGTTACTGTAGGCCTCTCCTGACTTCTTGTGATCTCTAATTCTCAGAGCCTCTCTCTGAGACAGGGGCATTTTACTGACTTATTAATTTCTTTATATGATTAAATGTACTGGGTGACATTGAAAGGATCACGTAGGTTCCAGGTGTGGGCTTCTATGTTACAAGATCTGTGTATTGCACTGTGTGCCCACCACCCAAAGTCAGCTCATCTCTAATGGGCATTTCTTTTTTATTTATTTTTGTTAATCCTCACCCCGAGGATATTTTTCCATTGATTTTTAGAGAGAGTAAAAGGGAGGAAGGCAGGGGGAGAGAGGGAGAGAAATATCGATGTGAGAAAGACACATTGATTGGTTGTCTCCTGCACTCGCCCTGACTGGGCTGGGCTCGAACCTGCAACCCAGGTACGTGCCGGAGACCAGGAATCGAACGCGTGACCCTTCAGCGCAGGGGCTGATGCTCCAACCACTGAAAGAAACCAGCCAGGGCTCTAATGGGCATTTCTTATCGGAGTTGAGGATGGCAAAGCCAAGACTGGGTTTGATGTCACGTCCCCAGGAAGGCTGGTGCTGAACCCCAGCAGCATCCCCCACAAATGAGACCCCCCAAAACCACGCGGAGAGAACAGAACTATCGCCCATGTTTTTGTTTTGTGCTACCGTGGTAGGTCACCGCTAGGCAACTTTTATGGACTCACCATTTTTTTTTTTATCCTCACCCGAGGACATTTTTCCATTTTTGTACAGATAGAGTGGGAGGGAGAGAGAGGAAGAGACAGAGAGAGAGAAACATCAATGCGAAAGGGACACACCGAGTGGTCGCCACCCGCACGACCAACCAGGGCCGGGGACAAACTGCAACCGAGGTACATGCCCTTAGCGGGAACCGAACCCGGGTCTCTCTGGACCATAGGTGGACGCTCTAACCGCTGAGCCAAACCGGCCAGGGCGACTCACCATTTTAATTCACCCAAAGGGCATCACGTAACTGAGACCTTAGGTTTCACCAAACACTGTATGTTGTCAGGAGCAGTGACTTCCAAGACAACCCCAGATGTGTTTCGGGGCCGTGGAAGGGAGCAGGGCGGTGGCCGGGCAGCCCCCCTCACCAGCATGCACGCTTAGGTGTCTACTTGGGGTTCCCGTGGGAGTTATTGTGAGATGCTGATCTCTGCGCGCACACCCCAGCCTCCCCGAGGGAGAGTGGGGGCCGGTGTCGTGGGGAATGCGGGAGCCCACCCGTGGGGCAGTTACCTGTCTGTGCAGCCAGGCGTCACTCTCATCCTCGTGTTTCTGAAATGAAATAAGAGCTTCAGAGAAAGGGCTTGGGCGGGATTGCACGTGTGGTCTGCAGAGCAGAAGCCGCTGACTTGCCCTGCATGGCAGCTGTGTGCGTACAGACAGAGAGGTGGCCACTCAGGACGGGGCCACTGCTCAGGACGAGGTGGTCCGGGCCTCTGCTGTGTCTCACAGTGCAGCTCAGAGCTGAACCCGTGTCCCCGAACAAGAAAATGTCCCTCTCCCCAGCGATGAGGACAAATCCACGGCAGGTAGGACTCCTTTGGAAGGTGGGGCACTTCTACCATTCAGTGGTCACCCTGACCGGCCATGTGCCCCGTAGATGGTCACCCCTGACCAGGCACCTGCCCGTGTACCGGCAAACCTCAGGTGCTATTTTGTTTTAGGAATCTGTGCGTGTGTGCACATGCGGACACATGTCAACCTTGCAGCTTGCAGCGCTGAGTGACAATCCTCGTAGGCTAGAGGGGAGGAGGGGGGAAACACTGTAGGGCATCTGTAATACTGCCAACAATAAAACAAAACGAAGCAAACAAGGCTTAAAGAAGGGGGTTAAAAACATATTATGTGGGATAATGCATCATCGAAGATCAAACCTCAGAACCCCAAGGCACAGCTCCTGAGTACAATTGAGGGGACCCAAGGTGCAATGGAGCTGTCCCAGGTGCTGATTTGGCCTCCAGGCTCCGGGGCAGTTGCTGGCAATGGAGTTTCTGTCCCTGGCACCCCAACATCAGGGGCACCGGTAAAAGAATTACCAGCAATTTCCAGCTTCCTCGCGGGGTGTCCATTTCTCCTCCCTTCTCCTCAAGTGAGCCCATCGGATAATCTAGATCTGTTCTACGTTGTGTGCAAAACCCCGGGTCAACCACCCCCCTTGGTGGAGGCCCCGTAACGGATCCCTGCGATTCATGGAGCGCAGGGGGAGCTACTGCTTTGCAGCGCCCGAGTCACAGCAGAGCAGCTTCGCCAGCCTGTTTTCTCTTCGGTTGGGAACTGAAAATTCAGGGTCCAAAAAGACTGCCGGCCGCTGGATGAACAAGCCCTGGGTGTATAGCAGTGCTGCAGCCAGCCACCAGGTGGCACCAAAGCAACGACCTGGAGCCAGGCTGCCACCTTGCCCAGCAGGTGCTGTGCAGTGTGCAGGTGGCAGTGACCGAGCCCAGGGGCTTGCTGCCACCCTGCCCGTACCTTGGTGCAGACCCCGGTGGTGGCGTCGCAGAGGGTGAGGATGGACACGTTCTGCGCCCGGCTCAGCCAGTTGACTGCGACCTTGGTGCTGGTCGCCCACTTCACCATGGTGATGTAGTATTCCCTGAAAACACACACACACGCAGGGTGAGCGGCTCTGCAGGAACCACGGGGCCAGAGACGGCTCGTCCCAGCCCTGGACGCTGACCATGCAGCGTTTTCCAAGTTCCAGGCAAATTAATAAAACACCTAAATACATTCCGATAGAATCCTTGAGTCCTAAGGAAAGCAGTCCGGTAATAAGTTTGGACAAAGGGTAAACATTCTGCCTGCTACCAAGTTTCTCCCCTGTTTCGGGGCTCATGGTATTTAACATTTCAATGTGTTCTTACCGACCAATATTTTCCTGCTGAAAGTACCTCGTCCTGAATACACCGTACACTGAGGTGATTCAGCGCTAAGGGTGCACAGTTACCGGCGTAACATGTATGAAGACACCCTCTGAAATCAATTCTTCCCTATCGAGTCCTCCACTGTTATCTGTTTGATCACAAAATCTGAATGCAAATATTAAAAGTCCTTATTAAGCGATGAACATAATATAAAAGGAAAGAAATAGCGGGTGAATGTTTCATAAGATTATACACATGGAGCCATTTTTGCCCCAGGAAGCTTAAAACCCAAACCACAAAGGATAAAAGAGCAAGACCCCCCTGAAGAGAAAGAACTAGAAACATGCTATGTTCCTGGAATAAGAAACTAAACGTGGTACAGTCTTCAAACCAATCATCGGTTTGGGAAGAACTGACTTGATCATACAGTTCGGCGTTAAGGGGGCAGAAAGCATATTTATCTTATCCATTTTTGTATCTTCAGCACCTCACACAGATTTCCACACGGTAAATACTTAAGATTTGTTAAAGAACGCAAGGGGATTCCGATTGAAAGAGCAAGGAGTTGCTTTTCCGCAGGGGAGGGACAACCAATAAAATAATCCTAAGGTTCCTATGCAAGAACAAATCAGCCAAAATGGCCAGGATGGTCTTAAGAAGATTCAAACCCACACAAGAGGGATGTATGCCAGAAGTTACCAGTGCTGTTCTTCTGCTGGTGTAAGAATCAGGAGGTCTACAAATCGGTGACTTGCCTTAAATCACCACGGTTTCCATAGGAACAGAAGAGTTTATATACTCATCTAATATTTTATGCACGTGTTATCCCAAACCAGTGGGGAAGAAAGATTTATACAATCAACGGTGCTGGGAACATGGCTTAATTATTAAAAAACAAGTATGTATTTCTAGAAAAAAAAATCTCAAAGGAATATTTATTAAAATGCCCCACAGTCCACGGATGGAGAGTGGTTATTATTTTCTGCAAAGCAGATGTTACTTTTTTTTAATCTTCACCTGAGGACTTTTTTTTGGGGGGGGGGGATATTTTTTTTCAGATAGAGTGGGAGGGGGAGAGAGAGAGAGAGAAACATCGACGTGAAAGGGACACATCGAGTGATCGCCACCCACACGACCCAACCAGGGCCGGGGACAAACTGCAACCGAGGTACATGCCCTTAGCGGGAACCGAACCCGGGTCTCTCTGGACCGCAGGCCGACGCTCTAACCGCTGAGCCAAACCGGCCCGGGCAAGCAGAGGTTACTTTTTAAATAAGAAGGTCATTTAGGATAAACTGGAGGTTTCCGATTTAAGTTCCAATATTAGAGGTATCACGTTGGGTTATGTCTTCTCTCTCCGGAAACTCGGCTGTGATGAGGATGAAGGAATGAAGCAGATGTGCTCCACACTAATAAGGACGACAGGACAGGGGCTAAGCGATGTCACCATGTCTCTGGAAGACAGGACGCAGACAGAAGAGTAGGAAAGGGGAGCTGGTTGAAAAAGCAGCACCCTTAAATACTGCAGAGGGGAACCCACAGGGGATTCTGGGGACTCGGGGTCCAGGAACGATATGGCACCCCGCAGGGAAATGTGGCCGAACAGGGGTGTCACTTGGGACACTCTGAATGAGATGCATGAACACACACTTAGAGATGCTGTTTCAAAACCCCCACAGCTTCCAGGAACAAGAACATCCGTGACCCACAGAGGAACAGGTGTCAGAGGAACACCAGGCTTGTCACCAGCAACCCTGAGTTCCAGAAGCACTGACCCCAGCCCCTCAAATGTGAGGGGTCATGGGTTTCGAACCCCGGTGCTGTACAGTTAAAATTTTCAACACATGTGAGAAAAAGACACTTTCTGGGCATTCAAGAATTCAGAAAGTTTACCTCCCACCGCCCTTCCCTAGGAAAGCACCTCGAGGATGTGCTCCAGAAAAAAGGGGGGGCAAGCCAAGGAAGATGACGACACACTGGCTCCCCCAAGGGAAGGCCCAGGATGGCTTCAGTGCAGATGTTTCTCACGAATGACCGTCCAGACTAGAGCAGTGGGGGTACTTGGGGAGATCGAGCTGGGGGAAGGGGCATTGCAACAGTGCCTGATATAGTTTGAAAGAAAAAAAAAAAGTATGATAAAATCAAATAGTCCAAGTGAAAAATAAAAGCAGTGCAAAACTCCAGGAAAAACGAAAAGCTGAACAAAAAAGAGACACAGTCACAGAACACTGCTTAGCTCTGCCATGGATGATTACCTCTGATAAAGTCAATGCTGCCGATAGATTTTAATGCTTTAGAGTCAGCCTGTAGATAAGAAAGGAAGATTTAGTTATGGTGGTAAGACAAAATGCAATGCCATCAATCTCTCTCTCTCTCTCTCTCTCTCTCTCTATATATATATATATATATATAATAGAAAGAACAGAAGTTTCTAAGTGGTAGGGACAAGGGAAGGGGAGGGACCGATAGAAAAGGGTGGGACTAAACTTTCATCTTACAAACTGGGGAGTTATGATTTTTTTATTGTAATATAAGGTGAAGGAAACTTGTAGGAGTATTGTTGAAGCTTATACGAGGAGAAGGTAGAGGGGTGTAGAGGTAAGTGTGCCAATTTCTTGTCTATCATAAAGAAAGTCAACGGAGGCCCTGGCTGGGTAGCTCGGTTGGTTGGAGCATCGTCCCCGATATAGGTTGTGGTCACGGCACATACAATGAATGCATAAATAAGTGGGACAACAAACTGATGGTCTTTTCCCTCTGTCTCTCTCTTCCATCAATAAAAAAGACAATGCAATGAATACATTAAGTAGTCAACAAGCAGTGAAATGAACATATCCTTTACAATACGATGTTGCAGTCAGGGGACCCCGGGGGAAGGAGCTCAGGTTGTCTCCAGTCGGGGTTGGGATGGCTGAGGGGAAGAGGGCGGGACTTGTTTTTCACTGTAGACCCCTCTGTATGATTCTGCTTTAAGCATTGATAGGCATTACTTTAGTAAGAAGAAAATACAAAGTTAAACATAAATGAAAAATTAACCAAAAAAGAGAAATGTGTGGCGCTCTGGAGAAACATTTTAGTGATCCCAGATGACACCTGGCCTGTGGGTTGGCAGTGGGGAGTTGGGGACAGGTGTCCACCCTCTGGACAAGGTATTTTTTCCAAGTTCCTCAGGAACTGAGCCATTAAACGCAAAAAAATCAGGAGACGGCTGCTAGCAAAAGAACACGGAATGAGTAGTACCCACCCATCCTTTTGATAAGTAGATAAAATAAGCGCCCCTGAAGGGGGTAAGATCAGAGTCAATGGGCAATGAATTGAGCACGTGGGTTGCGTCAGGGAGAAGAAAATAAAAGTGAAATTCCACCCAATCGAACCTGCTGCGAATTTGAACCAAGATCCTTGCTGTTCAGTCCAGAGAGGTGTCATGGAGGGGTGTGGTCCCGAGTGGTCACCCACGGGGGCCAGGGATGGGCTGCCCGTAGGTTCTCAACGCTGACCAAGCTCTGAGCCGAATGTTCACCAAAGCAAACAAAAACAGCCTTTACATAGAATGTAGCCAAACACACCGAACACGTATTTCCCCCTCTCCTTTTGAAACAAGAAAAACGGAACCAGAGTGTCGACTTGGCCCTGGACAGTTTCCTTTTGACCAGTGCACGCCAGGGCCCAGCGCCTGGCCGCTCAGAGCTCCCGGGGGCTCGGCCCGGGGGGCGCACCTGTGCTCTGCACTGTACAGGACGGGGCCTTTGGAAGCGTCTCCCCAGGCCGGTGTCCTCCCACGTGGGTGGGGCCAACCAGGGGTCCCGCTGCCTGTGTCCTCACGGGCCCCCAGAAGAATGGCACTTTCGAAGGTGTTAGCTGAATGCCCCCTGCACAGGTGCCATGGACTCAGTGTGCGGTAGACACGGGCCGGGGCTGGCAGATCACACGGCAGAACCCTTGCCTTCGGGGGGGGGGTTGTCATGGTTGGTGGGGAGACAAACTAGCACCCCCTAACTTCAGCCCAGGTGAGGGCAGCTCCCCCGGGAGGGACAGGGGTGCTCATTGAAAAGCCCGGCGTGGCTGAGAGAATCAGACAACATTCCCACGAAGCTCCAGCCAGAGGCGCCTTCGAGTCAGAACTCGGGGCTCTTCCTGGTGAGCAGCGCGTGAATTTTTCATCAGTCCATTTGTTCGCCATAAAATATTGATGGAGCATCGTCTCTCTTGCAGGGATTAATGCGCCATGTCACTTCTTGCTCTTCCGAATTCTGGCAAAGCTTCCCACGGCCGTGTGCCAGTCCGGGGCGAGGGACGAAGGGCTGGTTTGCCCACAGAAGTGAAGAGCCCGAGATTGGCGCTGGCATTTGTAAAGCGTTGTTTGTCCGTGGATCGAGTTAGAGCAAAAAGCACTTTGAGTGACCCGTTTTAACAAAATGATGTTCTCTAATAGAAGGCATCGTTGAGCAAAACGAGCTGCCACCGAATCCCAGTGCTCCCGTGATGGTGCGTGTGCCCTGCTGCTGCGCGCGGCCTCGGGCGGTCACGTGACTGTGTGGAACTGTCTGCAGGCAGGCTGCAGGAACAATGTGACTGTAAGACAAAGTCCTACTCGGTATCAGTTCCCATAATCTCACATTTCCACCTGTCCCAGGTGCTGGCAGGAATGCAGGCGGGCTGTCAGGATGAGGGAGGGGGAAGGGACGGGTGTGCCCTCTTAGGGAGTGAAGTCCTTGCTCAACAGTTTCTATGC